GTCCGGTTCCCGAGGGATACGTAACTTTTTGTAATTTATATAGTTTGTATGTTTTCTAATACCACGCGGACGAAGTCGCGGGCAACAGCTCATAGTAACATAGTGACATCTATTGGCTACATTTTAAAATAAAGATTTGTAAAATTAAACTAAATAAACTGTAAATATTTTTTTGGATTTGCATCTAAATGGATATTTTTAAATTTTAACTAAAGTGATAATCGTTTATCGGGTATTAAAATAAATAGAATTCTTGTGAGAATGTTAATAACATTGAGGTCACATCCCTTTGTCTGTGAAACTCTTGAAGATGATAACTTTGCCCGAATTGTGATTTATGATCTAACTTTGAACAATACAGCTATCATTAATCAGGGCCCCTTTAATTCTCACAGAGTATAAATTAATGTATATCCCACATTTCGCTACTAACATATCTTGAACTAACAAATGTGTGTGACATCGCTTTGTAATCTATGTCACCGACCGATCGTAAATGTCGCCCGTTTATATTTTGCCTGCGGAAATTGTAAAGAGTACCTAAACAAATTGCATTACACAATTTGCCTAGAAAAATAACAAATGAACGATGTTTACGTTTAGTCGGTGGCATTTAAAAATCCGAACGGAGAAAGTGTATTGCTGAAATCACGAAAAATAAAAATCAATGTGCTCTTTTTACCTCTAAAAATAAAGTTGTTAAGTACATTGTTAAAGTCGTTATTGTCACTCGGCACGGTATTGGTTTTAGATAACCACTTTCTCAAGATCCCTGGCTGCTTTTTATTCTATTTAGCTAAACGCTCGCTACCAAAAGGATGAATTTAAGTGAAGGATCAATGTAAATTGGACATTTTTTTGAGGTTACGTGATTTTTGCAATTCTTAACAGGTGTTAACAATGCCTAAAACCTAGGATACGGAAAGTGGATTTCATTTAATAAAGTGGTTCATTTTAGACGTGAACAAAATGATTTCATACTTTGTTTTTGTGTTTCGCTTCTCTGAAAGAAATATACTTCCCCAGGTAATATGTAAAGTAACCTCACTTTTATACTTTTTGTTTTCTTTTTAGCTCAGATACAGTTGCTACTTTAGTTATAGTAGTTTTAAACGGTTTCTTACTTTAAATTAGTATTTAGCTTGCTTGATGCGACTCAGACTTAACATTAAGTTGCTTGACTATTCAAAACTTAAACAAAAGCAAAAGACTTGTTAGAAACATGTTCTGAAAAAGACCTATTATCTTACACGAACCACATCATAATTATTAATTTAATTTAAAACAATATAAGTTCCTTGTTCAGCTTAATTTCTTGAAAGTGTGTAGCATACTGCTATTTAAAAAACCTAGTAAAAAAAACTTATGAATCGCGCGTTCTGAATACAAACAAGGAGCATCTGCAAGCTGTTTTGCGAACGGTACGTTAATAAACCGGGCGCTGACTGTGATAACAAATTGCCGTGAATTTTCCTCAGCTCAAGGACGACGAGAATTAAGACATTATTTCACTTGTCTTCGCGAATATAATTGTTCTATAAATCTTGCGTCATGAAAAATAGACTCTTGAAATAAAACCTCTCTTGATGGTTCATTAAATTTAGTTGAAACTCGGCGTTTATTTAGGATTTCGGTACACTGGAATGTGAAACCTAGCATTATCCGACATTTGGACAAATTGAGAAGATAAAAAGAGATTATCTTGCTTCTATTAAATAAAGACATACGTAAGCAATATTTTTTATTAAAGTAGAAATCATTTTATTTCTACAATGGGTATTGTGCCTATGGACTCTCATACTTTGTAGGTTATGTTAAAACGAGTTTCGAAAGGCATCCTACGAATTATAAGGGCCTGTCCTACTACTGGTTAACAGAGGTTCAGATAGCTTATAACGTCACTGTCAAATAAGGTAACAAATTACGATATTTCCATCACATATTTTATACGCTGGATTGCTAGACAATTTATAATTTGGTGGGACAGGCCCTAACTCTTTTCTTATCGGTTTAGTGTATATTAACATGTATAATAAATATAATTGTCTTTAACTATTGTCGCCCTTTAGTTCTTTCGGATATTGCAAAATGGATTCGGATAGGTAAATAAAACAAGACACATGCATGACGTTTTATTACACTGTACAATAAATATCGAACTGTATACAAAATATAGACGAATTCCAAAAGATATTGTCAACACTCTGGCATACACGAGTGTACGACCAACATACATCTAGTAATATACAACTAAAATTAATCCACAGTACATTTTTTTACTCAGAAGATTACATTCTGAGAAATCCACATATAAGTCAAATCTAGACAATTCAACATACAAAAAGCGTTGGTACATACTATGTACATTGGCACTCTAAAGCTTTACAACTACCTCGGTTCCATGGAATATGCTCATATTATTTTACAAACATACCAAATTTTTCTTGTATATTTTTAAATGGCAACATTTGTCAAGGGTTATTACTGTTTGTGTCACACACATCATCAATGTCATGAAAATTCATAGTGTATATTGGTTAAAAATTGTTGTTTTAAGTAAAAAATTGTCAATTCCAATTTAAAAAGCAGGCACTTGTAAGGCACATGAATTAAAAAGTTCATATACGTATTTAATGATTGCATTTCTAATTAAAGTGCACTGGTATGATTATTTTTAACAGATTATTTGTAGTGTTGCCAGTTTACAAAAAAAAATACCAAACCATGACAGGTGTCAAATAAATACGAGATTTCAGACTTTAACACCGTTTATTGGAATGTAGCTGCCGATCAAACGTACAAAAAGTAAATAAATATGCACATTTTTAGTATATTCCACGTAACCGACGCATAACAGCGGTCTATCACATTGCCCGACTTAGTCGCTACATTGAGACCAATATTGCTCACTACACTACACTAGTCCACGCTGTTCCACGTCCTCACATCGCCCAACAATGCACCCTACACACTTGAGATAAAGTTGATATTCGCTCAATTATGATTTTTTTATATTTCGTTTGAGACCTTATGTATTCTAATCATAAAATTATTTCAACATGATGTTCTCTAGAAGTATTTTGTGAAAATAAAATATTGCATGTTCTAAAAGTTTTTTTTCTTTTGAATGTTTATTAGATTGAATAGATAGAATGTAGATTTTTTAAAATATAATTATGGAAATGTAATTTAATATATAATTCGGTAGGTTTAAAAGTTCACATAAAATCTCATACCAAATTGAACAAAGTACAGATCCACAGAAAAAGAATATAAAATAATTATTATACTTATACATAAATAAGAAATATGTACTAAAAACATTAACAATTTTATTGCATTATGGAGTATTATCAATTGTTGTTTGAGCTTATTATTGCGTAACATTTAATTCTTGCAAATCGCAGCAATGAAAAATATGAAAATAACCTCGAAACAACGTATTGTAATTCCTAGAACAATAACAACGCATATTGGGAAATTAAAAACCTTGCTTTTTGTCAGGAATTCAGTTAAAAAATATGTGTTATGTTCATAGAATTTACAAATTAAACTGAAAACTACAAATAAAACAGAAATTAACATGTATAGAAAATTGTCACAAACAATTTTTTACTACTTTGTACTACAAAAAATACATAGGAAATTATTAAATGTTACTTATAATGGACAATTATTTATAATTTTTTGTCCATAGTTCATATGAAAAGTGGTTTAAACTTGAAAAACATAAAGGCTTCGCTACACTTTATACACTCCAATACACAAGAGACAAAATTCAACGCAACTGCAAAATCATACAAAGTTTATAACAAAAGAAATAGAAGGAATATAAAACATTAAGACCTATTCATTTTAAAATCATTAAAAAAGGTGCATTAAAAAGTTCGAAATTGTCATTTAAGAAAAATCTATAAAATTTAATAATTCATAAAAAGTATTGAGCATACAAAAAAATAGCAACTGAGGTGCAAAATATGTGCAAGTGAGCGAAAAAGTATTTTTTGAGTGCAGTTTTTCTTGGCAACATTTTTTTAAATGTACCATTGTTTGATGGCACTACTAAATGCAATAAATATATCACTGTTCCAGAATCAATACAAATAACACAACATACTCGATTCTACTTCCTGAAGGAGAAACGAAAAAAAATTACAAAAAATATTGGAGTATGGTGTTAAAATGGTCATTTTACCAAAATTATGTCACACTTAAACGATAAACTATACACAGATAATAAAAAAATCTAAAAAAAACACCGTGAATATTTTTTTTTAAATTAAGAGGTATTTACAAATGATAGCCTCTAATAAACCCTTTATAAAATGTACACATAATAAATAGAACAATCTATCTTAAAAAACTTATCAATAAACACAAGATTTTCCATGACAAGACCATTTCATGTTTTATAAATAAATATACTAAAGCTTATTTCACTTAAAAATCTAAATGAGTATAATTATTATTATGAAAATTATGCACTATTCAATTTTTTTCATTTCAGATCGTTGCATTATAGGAAAATATAGAAATACAAAAAGTTTGAACGTAACGAAGAAAAAATTTGTGCCCAATATAAATGAAAAAAAAACGCACATTTGAAGAGAAAATGTGTGAACATGCCTTAAGTGGTTTCGTACAAAATGACGCATTACTTTCATGTGAATGGGACTTATGACATCCTAATGAGTTTACTGAGAAGTATGTCAAGGGACGGAATTCCGCAGATGCAAATGACACGTTTGACAACGGAAATGATTGTACAATTACAATTTAACACATGGAGTGTTAGATTGCAAAGTTACAAAAAAAATTAAAAAAGTAAACTGGCAGTGGTAGAAAAGACTTCTACTTCGTATTTTTTTTTTTTGTATTTTTTACATCACGATTTTTGTTATATTAAGTGACTTTGATGCTAATTATCATGCCTAATAATTTAAAAAATCACAGTACGTGGTATTCATATGTACACTTTTACTCCCTAAAGGGATTTTTACATTCTGTACTTCTTTTTGAGTATCTGAGCAAGTTCATACATCTATGAACGGTACTTCACCAGATCTATCTTGGCACTTTTGTCTTGCAAAAATTTTTAAACAAAAATCAGCTCTGATCTCTACAAATTAGAGATTAAATTTGAACAATACGAATTAACTTCGTTGGTATTGAATTCCCTCTAAGCAAAATACGATTATCGATTACATGACAATTTCTATTCCTACAAGAGTATACTGCATAACCGAATTATTACTAGTCCCTTGTCCGTATGTCAAACAGCGTAACACACATAAAACTATCCAAAAGAAAATGATTTCTAATTATATAAGTGCAAAATCTACATTTTTTTGGTCATAAATATACTGATATATAAAATTTTATTACAATATGACTACATATACGTCGCCGAACGCAGCGCTCGGCTGACGAATGCAATTCCCACGTCATAGGCCAACTGAAGGCCATACAAACATCACATTACTGTCTTTTAATACGCACCCCTTTGTCCATACAGATTTAAATAAAACAATCCATGGTACGCTTCAAATTCATAAACAAACGTTTTATAACGGACCTTAATAATAAGGTATAACCATTCTGTTTCTTTTTATCTCTTTGATGCAAGATAAATTGTACTTTAATTAAAACTACCATTGATTATATCCTTAGGATCGTTGTATTTAAATCGCTGTGCATGGAATATCGATATTGCTTACAACTCAATATTGCCCAAAACGTATCACAATCGATATATCGAGTGCACGTGCACTTAATATCACACCGTCACTGCAACATTAGCGACTCAAGGTTGCGGTTGAGTATCGTATCCTTGACGGAGTTGAACACGACCTCTATGTTGTGCGTATCGATGGCTGTGGTGAAATGGTGGTAGAGGGTGGTCTTCGGCTCGCGCCGGACGTTGGCGAACATGTTGAGGATGAACATCTGAACATCCTGTAGATTGTGAGGGTCTCCGGTGAACTGGGGGTAGTACCAGCGTATATCAGTCTCCTTGCTGGCGACTTTCTTCGCGAGTAGATCAGACTTGTTCAAAAAAAGAATGATCGATATTCCTTTGAAGTTGACGTTGTTGACGATCGTGTCGAATATGTTGAGGGCCTCTGCGAGCCGGTTCGTCTTCCTGGAATCACAACGATTTAGTTTGTTAGCGCACCGCTAATAAGCTTGTACCGGTTTTAGCTTCGTGAGTCACATTTTGGTGGAAAGGTATTGAGAATTTCGTTTAAATCGACGATTTATTAACTGGAATTATCGAAAAAACTAGATTTCAAGGTGACATTGAGGAAAATTAAGAAAAAATCAATGACGTGGACTATTTAAATACTCAAATTAACGCGAATTGTTGATTCTATTGTAGGTTTAAATAATTAGACAATTTTTTTTTTGTAACACTTAAATGGACAGTGCATTAAATGATTAAGTTGGTATCCCTGAGAGCTCAAATATGTGTTCATAATTAGATTTCAAAAGAAAGCGGTAAAAACTTAAAGTGTGTCCAAATCAAAGTTAGTAAATCGTGTATAAAACCGGCTAAGAAGCTCTCATTTAATAGAACATCATAACTTAATCGTAAAATGTAACCTAATTTCAATTAACGAAGCATTTCTCATCTACAATTACAAATGTATGTTAGTAATAAATTTTTGATTAAAAATGAGTTATAACGTGACATGGATAGAAGTCAATGTGGGCGATCATTACTGCATTAGATGCGTACCCGTGGGCGACGGAAATGTGTAAATGATGCGTATTATAGAATTTAGTTAGTGAATGACTGAGTGAAAGGTGGGTGTGTTCATGTATTCGTGTAAACAAACAGGAATAGTTGCGACTGATTCATCGCGATATCGTTTGTTTCTTACGATTGCTTTATCACACTTGCACATATCAAGGCATTGATAAAATCCGAGATAAAGTAATAAGTATTTGTAATTATACAATCGTAAATTACATCACCTTTAATTTTGCGCAAACAGTAATTTTAAATTAACATTGAAACAGTGAGCAAGTAGACCGATAAACAATTACCAGAATGTAATATGTAACTCGTAACGTCTTTTGTTTCCGCGGTTGAGTTCCGCGTTATTGGAATCCCCCGTATAACACGTTTTTCAAAAGGACAAATACAAGTCGCGTTATAAGGGGGTTCTTTTAAAATTTAATGAGATTATTGCGTTATGGGGGTAATTCCCGCATTATATGAGGTTCCGGAATTCGAGAGAGAGTGTTATACGGGAGTGTAATGTATATCTATAATGCTGTTCATAATTGTTTCTGTAAAACAAACATATGACAAACAAACATTATAATAATCGATTAATTGCATTTGTTTACAATATTTTCACATTAATAATAACGTAATTAACATTTCCACTTAACTGTATCGACCTTTAACCGCGGCGAATCTTTTGTACTAACATTACTTTGAACAAACTGTTCCTGAATTTAAAATTACAACTTCGTGATATCATAATTAAGAAGAATAATTTAATAAAACGACTCCGGACTTGTCAAGGCAAGAATAGGTTTTTATTAAAGTTTGTACGTGCAAGAATTTCCTTAATAACGTAAATAGGTAAATTGTAAACAGCATTGAAGCCAAGCAAATTACAGGCCTTATTAATTTAAAAAAAAATCCAATTGACGTAAAACCGAATAATAAAAGTCTGAATCATATTGTACAGAAAAAATTTACAGACTTTATAATAGAAGTTATTAATATTTGTACTGAAATAACTAGTTTAAATACAAATTAAAAGTTACATTAATGTTTGATATGTATAATTGTAACTATGTACCGGTTATAATCAAATGTAGAACAACTGGGGCGACTCGATGAGCCCTTTACTCTCTTGAGTTAAATCGCTTAAGGGAATTGATTGCTTCTTTGTCCTTGAATTTATATCTTAAGTGTTCATGATTCCTAACTTTAAATTGGCTTTTGACGTAAACATTTGCTATTTATTAATTTTGTCATTCGTCTGTTTACATAAAAATAAAACCAAATCTACCAAATCATGTCACGTAAACATACATTGACGGCTCTACCATAGACTATCGTAATCCATAATTTTGCGATTTACACCTTGTCTTATGTTTTTTAAGTAAATTGATAAATAAAAATTTCTGTGTAAAATTAGAAAGTAAAATTGCTGATTTTAGTTATCTATCGTTCATTAATGACTCGTAAATAATCGTAATGTTTAAAGATTTTTTGGAAAATATAGCGTTTTAAACTTACGATCATTTACGTAGGGACCATCGACTTATCTGATGAAGCGGATTTATAGTGTTATCGGTTTACGACGCCATAACGTATTCGTAGTGACCCAATAAAATCATATTTACATCTGCGGCTCACTTTTACAACTGTAGTGTGCGTGTGTAAACTTAATATAGACTGAGATTCAATGTTTACGCTTGATTTTTATGGTAACACCTTTAAGGTGTTGCCATACATCGTTCTACTCATCATTCATTGCTGTTGCTAAAGTTTTGTTTATGTTATGATCCGAATACGACTCTAACGCCTTTTAACTTTAATATTTGGACAAATGTTATTACAAGAGCAAAATAATAAAGACAAATCAAAGATGAATATCGTTAGAAATAGTTAATAATAGTTAACAATAATTATGCCTTGAAATTATTGAGAGGTCAGAATAAAGCCTTCACATTATTTTGAGACTGTTTTGCCTTTATAGAAAAGAATGTGCTACAGATAGCTATACTAAGAGACCCTATCAGTCATGATTTAACGACCCTAA